GAACAAGACCATTAAAAACCACAAAACATTACTGAGAGAAATTAAAGAGGATCCAAATAAATGGAGAGAAATATCATGTACTTGAACCAAAAGAGTCAATATGTTAAAATGGCAATTCTCTCCCAAATTAATCTATAAATTCAACATCATTTCAATCAAAATTCTACCATACTGTTTTGTAGAAATAGGCAAACTAATTCTAAACTTTATATGGAAACACAAAGGACCTGGAACAATCAAAACAATTTTGAAAATGAAGAAAGTTTCAGGACTTACCTTACTGATTTCTTCATTTATTATAAAACTTCAGTAAGCAAAACTGTTGGTATTGGTGAAAAGATGGAACTATAGATTGGAATAGAGAGTTCCAAAATAGACCCACACATATATGGCAAATTCATTTTCAACAAAGGTGCCAAGACACTCAGTTGGAAAAGAAAGCATTTTCAACAAATAATGTTGGATCTACTGGATATCTTTAGAGGGAAAAAAAATAACATCAATCCTTATCTCACATAATACATGCAAAAAAAATTCAAAATGGATTATAAACCTAAGTGTAAATTCTAAAATATAAAACTTCTGCAAGGAAACACAGGAGAAAATCTTTTGCTGGGGATAGGCAAAGATTTCTTATCTAGAACACAAAAAGCATGAAACAGTTTTTAAAACTGATAAATTGAACTTCATCAAAATTAAAAACTTTTGCTCTTCAGAAGGCATCATTAGGAAAAAGAAAGTGCAAACTGGGAGAAAATACTTGCAATAGATATAGCAGTGTGTATGTGGATGCATATCCAGAATATGTAAAGAACCCATACTACTGAATGATAATAAGACAAACTACTCAATTTTTTAAATGGACAAAAGATTTGAACAGACACTTTACACTTTACACCTTACAGGAAAGATATAAAAGTGGCTAATAAACTCATGAAAATATGGGCACTGTCATTAGTCCCTACAGAGCCACAACTGGCCAAAATTAAAAAGACTCACCGTACCAAGAGTTGACAAGGATGTGGAACACCTGGAACTCTCATACACTGCTGGTGGGAACACAAAATGGTACAACTGCTTTAGAAAACTATTTGGCAATTTCTTAAAAAGTTAAGTTTACATTATATGCAATCCAGTCATCACACTCCTAGGAATTTACCTAAAGGGAACAAAAATATATATCCATGCAAAGATTTGTACACAAAGCTTTATTTTTTCCATAACAGCTCTATCTGTAATAGCCAAAATCTAGAAATAACCCAAATGACTATCATTCAGAAAACAGATACACAGATTGTGGGATATCCGTACAAAGGAATACTAGTCAGCAATAAAAAGAAACAAATTACAATTTTCAATAACATGGATGAATCTCAAACTCATTATCTTGAATGGAGTGATGGTTTCATGGGCTTATACATATATCGAAAAATAATCAATTTACATACTTTAAATATGTACAGTTTATTGTACTCTAATTTCAATTCAATAAAGTTATACTAAATTTTTTTAAAACTCAGTGGGAAATTTTTAGAAAGAAAAACTAAAGCTTCCTCTACCATGCTCCTGACTTGCATTGTAGTTGATGTCCCTTGGGGAAGCATCAGCCACAGAAAAACAGTAGGCTATCAAGCTGACCAAAATAAATATATCCACAGAAAAATATCAGTTTCTACTCACAAGAGCCCTGACAGTTATCATTAGATTACTATATAATGATTTAATGATCATGTTAATGTGCTGATCATGTAATAAGCTGTAGATATCAAAATTGTTAATTATGCAGAGGTTTTCTGAGACCTGACCGTTATTTCAGGACTTCTTCAGGGTAAAGACGGAGAAGAGCCACTTTAGACTATGTTAGAAAAAATTAAAATTAATGTATTTTTTAAATTAAGGGTAATATTGGGGGACATGCAGGAGCTTCTGGGGAGCCGGAACGTTTTCTTTCTTGACCTGGGCTGTTGCTACACGACTGTTCTCTTGGTGATGGTCCGTTGAGCAGTACTTTGTGTTTTGTGCACTTTTTGTATATGGGCTATACTTCAATTTTAAAAGTTTAAGATAAAAAAGTCTTTTGCCCCCAACCAGCCCAAATCCTTGGAGTCACCCTTTCCTCCTCCTCCGTACCTAATCCTGCTGATATCAAAAGGATCCCCAAGTCCATTAATTCTGTCTTTGTGGGATTCCTCACATCTTCTCTCTCGTTTTCACAGATACCTCCTGCCAAGGTCGCATCCTCAATGACTCATGAAAGAGAGGTTGGCAGGGACAGGAACAGGCGGTCGGAGGGGGAAGAGAGCCCTGTGACGTGGCATAGTTAGGTTTGAGAAGGCTTCCTGGGGGTCAGGCCTGCTCTGGGGCTTAGAAAGCCGGTCTTCTTAGCGAAACCAAAATGGGTTTCCTCCTGGCCAGTTAAATCAGACTCTCCACCAGAAGTAGTTGTCTCACAAAGTAAAGTACATTTGCAGCAAATAGGAGACCATAAGGAACCATTTCCAGAGTCATGGCGTCCCCAAACAAAGGGAAGCAGGGACCTTCAATTTTGGATGGGGAATGAATATTCAAAAGGGAGAGGTGGGTATTCGCTTGCACAGGCTCACTTGGAAAACATGCTCCCACATACACTGCAGGTTACAGTAATAAGGCCTCAGCTCCTCCTGGAGAGGCCTTAGCATTAGAAATAAGGCAAAGGTCACAGGCGTAGCTCTTGTGGTGAGGCTCGGTCTGGTTCAGGGAGGGTGGTGATTGCATCTCCTTAACATAACAAAAGGAAAAGAACAATCTGGAAAAGTAGTTAAAATGCTTCCAAACCCACTTGAGTTCCTCTGGACAACTAGTCAGTAACAGTCTCAACACTCTTCCAGCCATGCCCCCTGCAGTGCGTGAATCCCTTTAGCCAGTGCACTGCCACACCTTTAGGACCCCCTGGACATACTACACAAGAACACCCCATATAACTTGAACTACATTGACCAATATTCTGCTCCAGCTAAACCCACTCCCCACTCTGGGCCTTTGCCCGCTCCTGGTTTCCTGCCAGGAATGCCCCACCCAACCCTCCACATGTTTAAACCAAACTCATCCTTGAAGAGCCAGGGAGAAGTCTGGGCTGGGAGGTGGCTCACGGAGTGGGGTCCAGGCATCTGGGCTCACTTAGGCCTGCACCTCACCCCTCCTCTGCCCCCCGCAAAGGAGCAAGAGGATAGCCAGCAGTTCTGATACCTGAACACAGAAAAACCCTACACTCTTCCCCTCAGCCTTGGCTGGAAATTGCAACTGAAGCCAGAGGCTCCCAGTCTCAATGGGTAGCTGAGTGAGGAACCTTGAAAAGAATGCAAAGACAACGCAGGGCCCTTGAGAAAAGTAGGCACTGAGCTAGCAATTATGTTTTGTTGGATATAGGTAAAATCTGGAGAATATTTGCCGGAATATTCTTGCACACACTAAAAATATAAACAAAAACCAAGTTGAGGTGAAGGTTCCTTCTTTTTTTTTTTTAAAGTTTTTTTTTCCTTTTTCTCCCCAAAGACCCCCGGTACATAGTTGTATATTCTTCGTTGTAGGTCCTTCTAGTTGTGGCATGTGGGACGCTGCCTCAGCGTGGTTTGATGACCAGTGTCATGTCCGTGACCAGGATTCAAACCAACGAAACACTGGGCCGCCGGCAGCGGAGCGCTCGAACTTAACCACTCGGCCACGGGGCCAGCCCCTGAAGGTTCCTTCTTCCAGATGTATATTTGTCCTATTGCTTATTATCTCAAACTGTGCACTAGGGGCTTATTTGCAAGGATTTCTCTTGAACCAGCCTGACAAAGGTTTATTATTATCTCCTGTGTTCTGTAACTCTTAATCTTGAATCTATGCTTGCTCTGGGTCTTAATAATTTACTGTAATTTCCATTTACTGACCATATATTTGTTATAAGAAAATATATTTGTAGAATATGCCTGTTGTAAGAAATTGAGTTTACTCACCTAAAAATAATGTCGCTCACCCTGACCTCACTTTTCATTCTGTAGCTTCACTGGAACCTAAGGGGCATAATTTCATGTGTTAGAGCGCATCAAGACTGTGTATGTTGGATTTTTCCCTACAGGCCTGTGGCTCTAAAAAATTCATTTCCAGGAAGCAATAAGAGATGAAGTTTGAAGTTTTCTCTGTCAAGGACGGAGGAGAAAAGATGCCAGAATGAAAGTATCAGGCAAGGAACCAATAATGACAGCAAGGCCCCCAAGGAGAAGGGTGCCTCTGTGAGTGCTTGACTTCCAGGACCCTGTCATACTCTTACTTAAATCCTTCGATATTTCCTAAAGTTCAAGTCTAATTTCCTGGCATGAAACCTGTTCTTCATGAGGCTGCCCCTTCCCACGGCTTCTCTCCTAACCTGAGCTCCTCCCGCCCTGCACCACTCACCATACGATGGTGCCACCTTGTTTCTGACATGAAGACTGGGTCATGCTTTCTCCCCCCTCCTTGTGGGTTCTCCTGGATCCCAGAAGTAAACTCTACCCCACCTCTCAGCTGTTTCTTTCTTATTCTTCCTTCAAGATCAGACCGAGAATCATCCACACATCTTCTGCCAAATTAAATAGAATTAGGGGCAAGAAGCAACTTTGTTCACATTTTTGTAAAGGAAACAATTTTGGCTTATGTATACTGTTAGCTTCTGACTTAAAATATCCACAGATGATCTTTTTTTTTTTAAAGGTTGGCACCTGAGCTAACAAGTGTTGCCAATCTTTTTTTTCTTCTTCTTTTTCTCCCCAAAGACCCCCGGTACATAGTTGTGTATTTTTAGTTGTGGATCCTTCTAGTTGTGGCATGTGAGACGCCGCCTCAGCATGGCCTGATGAACAGTGCAACATCCGTGCCCGGGATCCGAATCAGTGAAACCCTGGGCCGCCAAAGCAGAGCGCGGGAACTTCACTCAGCCACTGGCTGGCCTGATGATCATATTAAGTAACAAAACTTCCAAGTTTATTCTTCCAAAATTTTAGTCAGATACAGAAGTTGGATTTTATTGATTCCTTTGTTTTCATTCACTAAAATAATCATGAGATTCCTTACTATTATTTGAGGCTTCCCAAATGGTGAAGTGCAAATGGGTTATAGATAGGGATCCCTCAGGCAAAACCCCAAGGCCAGATACCTGCCAGCTGGGAGCAGCTCCCTCAGTTCAACCAGTTTACGTCCATTTATCGCTGTCTAAGTGGGCCGTGAAATGAAACGGTTTGCTCTGTGTTGTGTCTGGCTTCAGGACAGGCGGAAAATTCCATCAGGTGGTAAATAACATCCAGTTAAAAAGATGTGCCATATTCTTTTGCCAATATTTTACTTAGGATAATTGGATCTTAGTTCTTTTCTTTTGTTAGTCTAAAATATCTTTTTGTTGTTGTTAAACTTGATTTAGTTTCAAAATTATAAAAGGTGTGAAGCGGTATGTTTTATTACCCTATTCTACTCTTGAAACAGTGTATATACCCACAGCTGTTATCTGTCCTGGGGAAGATCTGAATGATGAGGGAGGAAGAGAGGGAGGGAGGAAGGGGGAATGAGGCCCCCAGGTAGTGCATCTAGGGTAAAATCTGTCCACTGTGGGCATAGACAATGAAAAGGTGACTCTTCAGGAGGGTGGGAGATAAGAGGAGGATGGAGTTTGGGGACAGCAAGACAGGGAGCACTAAGGGGTGGGGTCATGGCTTGGGTAGAAGGGGCTGAAACAACCAAAGGTCTGGGGCGCTCATATGGCCACGCTGTTTTCCACCAGGCTGGGCCGCAGGTACTCGTAGGGCATGTCCAGCTTTGCATTCCGGATCTCAATTTCCTTATCAAGGGCAGCCAGATCCTCTCTGAACTTCTTCAGCACAGCCTTGGGCCCAGGGCCCGAAAAATACTCCTCCTCATGCTGGCCCAGAGCCACCTGGGATGGAGAGAAAGAGGCAGCTGAGCGCTTTACGACCCTCAGTTTGGAGTGCCACACCTTCCTGAAGGTGCCCCCTTCCACAGGGAGCCGGGCACCTGGCTCTCACCATGACGGGCTGCCGTCTGCCTAGCTGCCAAGTGATGGACATCTGGAGAGAAGACTGATGAACGTTGGGCAGTGTTGCCATCACCGTCTCCAACGTCGCATCCTTGGTGGTCGGTGGGGGCAGCCGCATCGTGCAGGGTGCATTAGGGACCCAAGCATACCAGTCCAGCTAAGAAGGGGCAGATACCTAGAGTCTATGTCTGCTAAGCATGAAAACCCCTTAGCCCACCTACGCACGGCACTGTCCCACAATCCAGGTCCAAATGCCCAGCTGCCCACCTCTGGTAAGTACCTGGCCCAGGTGGACGGAGGAATGCTGGCCAGTGCAGGTGAAGATGCACATGGTGACAAAGTGGCAGACCTGGTCCCGGGACTCTAAGGACACAGGAAACCCTGCAAAGGATAAGGAGAGTCAGAACCTGCGAGGCTAGGCATAGAAGAGAGCTCAGAGAGATGAGGGAGGGAGGGGAGAACGAGATGGGGAGAAGGGGCGCCCAGGACTCTCAGGAACTGCTGTGGGAAGGGACGTGAGAGTGGCTTGGGTGGGGAAGTGGGGAGCTGTGCTGGGAGGGTCCCGCCCAGTAGGGTACTGTGAGCTCATACTGGCTCACAAGAGTCAGTTGTGCGAAATTTTCAGGCATTTAGCAAACTGGTTGACATCACACTGGTAGCCATCATGGGAATATTTACACCAAGGAAATGCGCTAATGCTCAAATCAGGCTTTTCTTTCAGACAGCCAGTTGTTAAACATTTATGAACAACCACTGGTCCCACTGCATCTGGGACCTGGAGGGGTTCTCAGTGTATGCGGCAGGGACCTGTCTCTGGTAGAGTGGAAAGGGAATCTGGGGGTGCCTTTGGGCATTTTCATAGGGGTTGGAAATGCTTCTGGAAGCTTCCATAGAAGTACAAAGGATTCTGGGGAGATTCCAAGGAGGACTCTCTCCTGTTGGAGGTATTAGGGCAGGGGCTCATCTTACCTCGGTCCTGGGCCCCTAGCAGCCCAATTTCAGTGATCTCTCGACACCAGGTCTGCAGCTCAAGATCTTCTTTCACGGCCCTGTCCGTCTTATAATGCAGATTCACTATTCCCTCCACATATCTGCTGGCCAAGGGGTCGGGGCCAGAGAACTGAAGCCGACAGGGAGCCACCAGGCCCTCTGCTCCCTGCCCACACGGCCAGGTCAGGACCCCCAGCCCTCAACTCAGACACAGACCTCCTCTTCTCCTAGCCTCCTCCCCGACTCCCACCTCCACCAGCCCTGCTTCCCCGCTGCCTCACCGAAAGATGACTTCCCAGAGCCGCAGGGCATCTTGGGCATAGAAGGAAGACTTGACGCCCAGGAGCCCCCGGTCCTCCAGGTCATCAGAGGGACAGAATGACCTGTAGGTCAGAAAGGGTCCAGCTCGCCTGAGCAGCTCCACGTGGCCTCCCCCACCTGTGCTCACCACCTGAGGAGCAAGGACAGGCAGTCAGGCCAATCAACCTGCCTCGAGGCCAGAGCCGGAGGGAGAGTGAACTCCAGAATCCCCCTGTCTCTCCTCATACCTGGTCGAAAATTCCCATGTTGGAGACCAGCCCAGACCTGGCCCGGATGTTAATTTCCATGGTGTATCTCAGGTGGGGAATTATAAGCTAGAGGGAGAAGAGCAGGGAAGGGCAAGGTCAGAAGAGAGCTGGGGCAGGTCCCTGCAGGAAATAGGGGGTAAAAAGCAGGAAAGCTACCAGGTCTCAGGAAAAGCACGGCCATGACGTTCAGTGGCCCCTCAACACCAGGAGTGTTCAGTTGACGTGTAATTAGTGCCAAAAACTGTGGACTTATTGCTCTATGATGACCGAAAGACATCATTCTCCTTTTCTTTTCATAATGACTATTCAAGGTCTAGCTCAATGTTTCTCAACCTTTTCTTCATTATCACTCCTTTAAGGAGGGTTTTTAGCTATTCTTTCCTACTCTCACCCTCCCATGCAATTTTAATGCTATAGATATATCTATTATGCACTCTACGTCTATATATGCTTTACACATAAAAATAATAAGATATTTTGCCCCCCTACAACCACTTGCACCCCCTTGGGGGGCATAATTGCCCTCACTGAGAATGCATGGCCTAACCTGCCTACCTCCAGAACTTCATCACCTACCTTCTCCCCTTGCCCATTACACTCATCCTCTTTCTGTTCTTCAAATATGTCAAGCTTGTTCCTGCCTCAGGACCCTTGCACTTACTGTCAGCCTCTGCCTAGAACAATGTGCCCCTTGATCATTTCACCGCTGGATCCTCAATCTCTATGTCATCTCCTCAAAGGAGCCTTTCCTGACCACCCAATCTAAACTCGCCATCACATCACCCTGCCTGGATTCTCCACATTGTACTTATCACAGCTGATGTGTTACAGTACAATCTTTATTGTCTGTTAGCCGTTAATGGAAATGAAAATCCCCAAAGATCAGAACCTCACCTGTCTTGCTCAGCACTGGCACCTAGAACAGTTCTTGCCCCATGGGAGGCACCCACGAAAAAAAGTGAATAGGTGAATACTCTGCTCTAATTACCTGTAATAAACCAGGCTGCTGCTGTTGACCTGAGCCCCTCCAACTGGCCTATGGGTCACTGTTTTAGAATTCTTCAAAGCTGGCTGGAAAATCTGTTATGTATTTGCATGGTGCCCTCTTGTTGGATGGAATCCTCAGTCATTTGTGTGTACTATATACATACTGTATGTATATCTGTGCTTTATACATAAAGAAAAGGAAGACTTCTCACCACCCTACCCTGCTGATGAATCATTTTCACCTCCTTGGGAGGTGATATCACCCTGTTGAAATTCTCACTCCCTGCTCTCGTGCCTTTCACTGGTTGGCTCCCGCCATACCTGAGACGCCGCAGAGAGGGCACCTCCAGAGGTGGGACTGTGCGATGGGGCAGAGAGGGGCAGGCAGGAGAGAAGGGAACAAGGTGTTACCTTGAAGATAGGATGTATCGATGGAAGGCACCTCATGGTGGCCACAGCGAAGACCTCAGCCATCAAGTGTCACCTCAGAAGATGAGACTGCAGCTCGTGAAGCTGGAAGTCAGAGCTACGGACCCAGCATTTAGCCAGGAGCCAGACCATCGGGGGATCCGTGGGCAGGAAAAGCGGTGGTGGAGGGGACCCTTCACGGGGCAATTGGAGCTGGAGCCAGGGCGAGAAGGGATGAGTGCCAGGTGTCCCACAGACTCCCCTCCTTTGTTTGGTTAACTTCTCCCTTCTTCCTCCAGATTTGCTTTGCTTTCTCCACCTGGCTGCTCCTACCCGCCTCCAGCCGCTGTTCCTCCCCTCCCTTTCCTGCCCACTCAGCTCCTTAACATTGTGCAAGCGGCTCTGCCCTCACGCTGCCTTCTCCAGCCTCCACTTCCCCTTTCAGTCCCTTCGGTGTGGACAAAATTCAAACCCACCTCTGCCTTCATCCCACACTCTTTTTCAGAAATCTCAGCCTCTCTCTGATCTTTCAGCTCCACCTCTACACAGCTGACTAAGTCTCCAGTTCTCAGCTAGTCACTAGCTGGACATTACAACTTGAATGTCTCCCCATTAGCTCAAAATTGGCCAGATGCAAGCCTGCCTGCGCGTCCTGTCCTCTTTATTTGTCCTATTTCTGCAGGTGCCTTGCCTGGCTCCTCCTTTTTCTCTCTCCTTGAATTCAGGCCAGTTTAAATCTCCTCTGCACTCCCACAGCTCTTCCCCACCTCTGAGCCCATCACCTCCACCTTGGACAATAGCTGTAGCATAGTGCCCTAATCCCTGCCTAGCATCTCCCTTCTCCCATCCATCCTAAACCCTAGTGCCCAGATAACATGCCTGCAGCATCTTTCACAGCAGCCTTCACCAGCTTCCTGTGTTCATACTCAGCCTGGCATCCATGGCGCGCTGTAGCCTGGCCCCCCTCACCTCACATTAGTCCCCAGCACCCCTGCCCAGCTGGCCGCCGGGAATCACCTGACTCCTCACTCTCGGACACTCCTCAGCCTCTCTGCCCGGCCCACCTTCCCCTGGGGGCGGGGGGTCCTGACTGTCCTGCTTGAATATCTAAGTCCCATCCTCTCCCAAGGCCCGGTACGCCCCACCTCCAATGATCCCTCCCAGACTGTCTCCGTCCTCAGGCACTTCCTCATTACCGGAGCTTATTCAGATTTGCCCGGTCTCTCTCCAGCTAGACTGCACCTCTTAAAGTCAAACTCCTGCCCATTTCCTCCTTTCACGCCTCCTCAGCACATTAGCGTAAGGCCTTTGCACAGAGCCGGTACTCAGTGAATTTGGGCGAGGGGCTGAGCCAAGAGGGCCAACCCCTGGGGAGAAAAATGATGAGTCCTCTCACCTGGATGACCATGGGCAAGAGTTTCCCATCAGGCTGCAGCTTCAGCAGGACCAGAGGGGCAGCCAGGTACTGCTGGCTACACAGGATGACATTGGCCTTGATCCCATCCAGCAGGGAGAAGTCAGCTTCAAACAGCATGCCTCCCTGGATGGGGGCAAGGGCAAGGGCTGCCATCAGTGTAAGGCATCTTCCCTCCACCCTGACTCCCCGAAGGAAGAAGAAAAAGAAGGTATCCAACTTGTCTCCACCACCTACTTTGTACGGGTAGTGGGATCAGCATTTGGGCTGCTGTGGGGTCCACTGTGGGCCCAGCTTGCTGCCAGATGGCAAGAAGGAATTCTACAGGAGAAATCTTGAGTGCTTATTGCCTCATATATTTCTTACATGCACTTGAATTAGCCCCAGTTTTATAAAAGAGGAAACAGATGATCAGAGAGGATAGGTATCTGGCCTGAAGTCACACAGCTTATAAACAGCAGAAACAGGATTCAAACCCAAATCTGTCTCACCCTATAATCCCGTGGGTTTTCTCTCTCAGTTGTTGACTCCTGATTAACCACCCCAGCCCTGACCCTGATTCTCTTACTCCACACTCTCCCTCAGTCCCTAGCTCCAAGGCCCAGTTACAGCTCTTCATTTTGACTCTGTCTCTATCACCCATCACACACTCTTTCTCCACAATATGCTATTTCTTCTCAGGGAGGAAGGCCATGGAGCTGCACTTCTCCAGGATCACTCAAGATTTCTCCTGTAGAATTTCTTCTTGCCATCTGGCAGCAAGCTGGCCCACAATGGACCCCACAGCAGCCCAAATGCTGACCCCGCCCCCCATTTCCACGTGGCCTCCTTAGGGATCTTATGTCCGTACCTGGAGCTCCTTCTCCAGCTGGGCCTGCAGCTCCTCCATCCCTGGAGGGAACACTAGGCGGGCAGGAAGGCGAGTGGAGCGCCTCAGCAACATGGGGTTGGTGCCGTTGAGAAACTAGTACCCAAATAAGTCATCCTCCTTCCAGGAGTCCCGCACCCGCTCTAGGGATGGCAGTTGGGGAGCATGCTGGGGGATCCAAGCTCCTGGTCCTTCCAACCCTGCCCAAACCATCCCCACGTGACCCCAGCCTACCAGAGGGACCCAGGCCTCTGGTCTCCCAAACCTAGTTCCCTCGATTGGATGGGATCTGGGGGTAAGGGTCCCAGGGGAAATATTTGGGTACAGGTACTGACCAGCCAGCTTGCTCTGGCCACACCAGAAAATCCTGTTGAAGTCATCCAGATCCTTCCAGCAAGTCAGAATATTTAAAGAGTCTTTGACAGCTAGGTCTGCCAGCCTTCAGGGAAGGATAGGCGAAGGGTTTGACATAATTCTCAGAACCAGACATTACAACCCCGGGCATCCACCTTGGGCTGGTCCAGCCCTGTTCAGTCCATAAGCCCATTGTCCTCCACTAGACCAGGACACCTCCCTTTCACCCAGCCCCCATTGTTCTCACCCCTTGGCCAGCGAAATCAGGCATTGTTGGGGGGGGGGGGCGGGGAGTGTCGGCAGCTCACTGGGGGGCAGGAGGAGTCAGAGGCGGAGGAGGGCTAACCGGTATAGCTTCCTTCTCTCTTCCAGCACCTCCTCCCTGTGTTTCTTGAAGAAGCCTTGGGGGTCATCTACCACCGTGCGGCCTAGAAGTGCGGAGGAGGGTATGGGCAATGAGGCTTCTCCTGAGAGCCTCTCCCCTGTCCCTGCCGAGGATGCCTGCTCAGCCCGCCCTTCCGACGGCCCCTGACCCTTCAGCACCACGCCCTCCCGCAGCCTCGGTGCAGGTGCAGCTCGGTGCCAGCTCCAGCAACCCGCCGCTTCCAAAGGCCCCGCCCTCCGGGTTCCTGCCCTCATGCCCTATTCTCCTCTTCCTTCCCACTAACTTCTCTAGTGCCCCAGAACCCTCCTCACACCCCGACGCCGCGCTCACCAGTGCCCTCGGGTAGGCTCAGGACTCCGTCACCCTCCACCCAGCGGTAACGTGGGAACCTGAACTCGTCCCCGCTGGCCCCGGGGCCCTGCACCGAGATCCAGTTGCAGAACCACGCGTCATCATTAAGGAGGTGCCACTTGCGCAGTTTCACAAAGAGCAGCGGTCCCAGGAACTCCGGCACGTCCACCTTGAATTCTGCCTCCTGCAGGCGACAAAAGAGTGTCAGCAAGGTGGGCCTCTCCGGAAGGGGCGCTTGGACTGAGCCCTGGACGCCCTTCCGCTGGGCCTCTGGGAAAGCTGCGCAAAGGGAACCAGAAAGAGAAAGGGGGCGCGCACCCAGCAGGTGGCTCCACGACCCCTTCCTGGGTCGTCGATGCCTCGATTCCTCAGCCCGATGGGGAGGTGCACTCCTTCCTGCACTTTTTCCTCCCTGTTGTCACTGATTGTGCCAAGCGCTGAGCTGGGCACTGGGCACCAGGCGCCGCGCCATGGGCCCTGGGACGACACACTGTAAACCAGACGATTGCAGCTGAGAAACACCGGCGCCCCCCGACCCCCTCACCAAGGCTGAGTGCCCACAGAGGCCCCACCCGGCCTGGGGGCAGGCTTCCCGGAGGACATTCCATCTAAGCTGAGCCCTTTAGATGAAAAAGGCTTAGCCAGGCAGAGTGAGAGAGAGGAAACGCTGGGGGAAAGGCGTGCCAGGGAGAGGAAACGGAGACAGCAGAGGCTAGGGGAGGGCGAGCAGCGTCGTGGAGCTGGAGCTGGAGCGCGAGACGTGGGGAGATGAGGAGGACGAGATAGTGAAGTCTCGAAGGTGAAGCCAAGGGCTTTGGATTGGTGCTGAAAACAAGCGGAAGCCATTCAAATGTTTTAAGCTGGGGGAATGTTTTAGGGGTGGGAATGTATTTGGAAGAAATCGCTCTGGCTGCAGAAGGGCTTGAAAGGGCAGAAGCGAAAGCAGTGAGGCAGGTGAAGAGGATGAAAGTGACGTAGGTTCCAGGGGACATCGGTAGTCGCGGGTGGGGCGGACATCAGAGCACGGATGCCGGAGATGTCCAGGAGATCGAATTGACAGCGCTCGATTCTTAGTTAGACAGAGGTGAAGAGAGAGGCAGGCGCCAGTGACACGTGGGGGAGACCAGAGGAGAGGTCTGAGAGTGGGGGAAGAGGAGGGGACCTCACTTGGGCGTGTTCCTTTGAAGCGTCCATGGGACGGACATCCGGATCAGGGGTCTTGGAGAGAGCTGGACAGGCGATGGGATTTGGGGGTCGGCAGAGGGAAAAAGTACCGAGAGCCAGGGACAAATACCAGGTAGATGTGATGGGAGAGGCGAAGTGGGCCGGGAAATTCAGAGTGTTCTCATCTTTTGGCTTCTTCTCCCCAGCCTTCCGCCGGCTCCTCCATCCCACCCCACCTCGGGTGATAAAGCCCGCAAGGTGGAAGATCTAGCAACAGTAGAGTTTGAAATAGTTTTTTAAGAATAGAGGAAACAGGAGACGCACGGCCTCTCTAGGGACCTCTGAGTTTCAAGAAAAGAGAGCTCTGTGGAACGACGGGCGCGCAAGAGTATCCTCTCAATTCCAAGGAGACTGGGCGGCAGAAACGTTTATTGAGCGCTGACTGTGTGCCACGTACCGCCTTAAAGCGCTCTACCCTGCGGCCTCCGAGCGCTCTTTGCGCGGGATGCGCGCGCCCTCAGCCGCGAGAAGGAGCTGGAGGCGGGCAGGGCGCTCCTCTTCCCCGGTATTTGACGGACTTGGGGACAGAGGTGCAGCCCACCCTACCCGCCTGAGGCCAGCTCACCTTGCCCCGCGCCGGCCACAGGCGCTTTCCGAGCGCCGCCTCCCGGTGCTGGCCGACCAGCCACAGCTGCACCTGGTTGTTGGAGCCTGCGTGGAGCGAGGACCCGGTGGACGCGCGGACGCGGTAGAGACCCATCTTGCCCAAAGATGTTTCGCGCCTTCTGCGGGGGGGGACAAAAGAGTGGAGGCGCTAAATAATGGGGCCCAAGACCCCGCCCCTCAGAAGCCTTGCCAGGGATCGGGGCCGTGGATGGCAGTTCTCCAGCCAACCCTTCCCAGCTCTGCGCCGCCCAGAGCTCAACCCGAAGCCGAAGAAGGCGGGGCCATGTGGGGCCAGGGGATTCGGACCATTATCTTGATGGGAGGAGGATAGAAGGAGGAAGCAGATGAGAATTTGGGCAGAAAACATGTAGGAAGAAGGAATCGAAGCCTGGCCCAGCAGGCAGATGGTGTGGGTGGCTGGGAAGCCCACTCTGTCTACACACACACATACACACACACACTGGCCTCATGAGTTGGTTCACCTCTGCCAAGGGTCGTGCTTAGGGTTGTAGGAGAGGATGAAACGGGCAAGGAGACCTGGTCTGCAGCAGCATTTGAGGAAAGCACATTAAGGCCACCGAATTAATTTGACCAACTCTGAAGCTTTCTTGCTTTCCCCGTGCCAAGCTCTGGGGTTCATTCCTTTCTAGCTTAAAAGCCTCTGCCTCTCTGTTGCTTGCAGGATAAAAATCCAAACTTCTTGACATTAAAGCTCTTTCTAACCTGGCCAGCCCTTCTCCAACCTCATCCCACCCTCATATCCTGTCTCTCTCTTTGGCCTGGAGCCCTGTGTTTCCCAGAACCCACTGTGTTGTTGGCTTGCAGTCCCTCCTCCTGGAAAATTCTATCCAGCCTTCTAAACCCTGGTTAGACTCCAATTTCTCAGGGAAGTTTTTCCTGGTGATTCCAACCCTCCCCACTACCCTCACCAGAGCTAATCAGCTTTCCTCTCGACTGCTTTCGCCCGGTGCATACTTCTACCGTTGCGCTGCTGCAAACAAATACTACAGTAATTTGTTTGTATGTCCATATCCCCTGCTAAGGTGAGCTCCTCCTTGGTAAGGACCACAATCCCACCCAGTACCACATACTCACTTTTGTTTCCCCTGGATTTAGCACAGTATCAGGGCTTGGGGGTGTCAATAAGTATTAACTGAAACACACAGAACTGAAAGATCAATTATAAATAAATCCTTCCCTTGGGGGAGACAAAGGCAAACAAATAACTCTCAGGCAATGTAACTAATAAGGGAATAGCAAATCCAGCTGTGGTGCCACCATGGGGTGACGTGCTCTAAGCCTGGTAAAGCAAAGGAGGTCAATAGAAATACATCTGTAATGCATACTTTCTTGTTTATTTTTTTAGTGGGAAGTGATTCAAAGTTTAGAAGGTACAAAGTGGTATTCACTGGTGTCTCCCTCCCTCTTGGCCCCAAGCCCCCTAATTTCTCCACCCCCAGCAGTCACTGATCTGCACCCATTCACAAGTAAATACATGCCTATCCTTTTTGTCCTTTTTCTGCACATGGTAGCACACTTTACACGCTGTTCTGCACCTTTTTCCCCCCAGTTTGCAACATAAATCAAGAGATCATTCCACATCAGTCCTTAAATAGCTTCCTTGTTCTTAAGGCTGCCATTGTTTTGATGAAGCATAATATACTCTACCAATTTCTTGTAAATGGACATTTAGGTTATTTGCAATCTTTTGTAACCATAAAAAATTTTTATTGCTGAAAGAAATTACCTGGTATATACATCATTTCTCAGATGTAAATATATCTGTATACAAAATGCTAGAAATGGAATTTCTAAGCCAAAAGCATATATAATTTTGGCACAAATTGCTACACTACTCTCCATACAAGCTGTACGAATTTATACTCCCATCAATGAGTCCACTGATGTGTGGGAGTGCCCATTCTCCTTCACTCTTGTCAATAGTGTGTTGATAAACATTTTTGCCTTAGCCAATCTGTTAGGTGAAAAATGTTACCCTAGTGTAATGTTAATTTGCATGCTCTTATTATAAATAAGGTTGAGCATCTTTTCATATTGTAGGAGCCATCTGTATTTCCTTTTCTGTGAACTAGCTATTCCATTTTTCTATTGGATTTTGGTCTTATTGATTTGTAGGGACTATTTATATATTAGGAAAATTAGCCCTTTTCCAGCTCTATCACTACTAAAGGGTCCCAAAGTAACAATGGTCCTTTTTACATACATCAACTCCTTAGAGCCCAGATTTTGGTCTATAATATTATTCTCCACTAAAAGAAACTTGGACTTCTTAGGGGGTAGCTGACTCCATGGCTGGGGGCAGGTAAAACTCAGGATAAGCCTGGAACATGCTATTGTTGCTAAAAAAGTAAGAGCACTCTCAAGAAAGTCACAGGCAAGATGTGCAATTAGAGAGGCTCTGACTGGCTGTGTTGTGACCTTTTGAGGAGCAAAACTAAATAATAAATAGGGTTAATTCCAATAGATAAATGCGTCAGAATGCTTTATGTTGCAAGTAACCAAAAGATCAATTCAAAATGGTTCAAACAATACAGAAAAATTATTATCTCAGAAAATAAGAAGTCCATAGGGTAGGCTGGCCCTAGGGTTGTTTAGTTCAGTGGCTCAACAGCATCCTCAAGGAGCCAGGGTTTTGTTTTTCCATCTTTCCGTCCTCCATGAGTCAGCTCCTCAATGAGTTATCTTCTTAACAAAATGGCCGCTACCACTCTAATAATCCCATACAGACAACAACATCCAGTGGGAAAAGAAGGACCATTTCTTCTTGTGCCTCCCTTTTTAAGAGCAGAGGAAGCTTTCCCAGAAACCATCCAGCACCTTTTCCTTATCTATTTTTAGCCAAAACTGAGCACCAAACCCAAATCCTTCAAACCAGCAAGGGAAACAGAACCATCATGATCATCTTAGCCAGTCAGGATTTGCCCCTGAGTTAACCAGGGAAGGATGGACACACAAACACATTTGAGGCCCTCGCCAACAAGGACGACGGGATAATGGATGGGGAGGTAGGCACCCAAGGGTGTCTCCTACAATGAGTTTGTGAAAAACCCAAATCCATAATAATATTAAAAAGAGAAAAGTCACTGTGAACTATTACAAAAAAGTATAATCCAAAAGAGAGCGATTATTTTGGGATTTTTGAAGTTTTTGTAGGTTTTAATAAGAAAGGGAATGTTACTCTACATAAGCGTGTGTGTTTCTTCTAAGTACACTTCTGTTTATAATGAACACATATATGCTCACTTCCATCGGTAAATGGAAAAGAATAAAAACAGGGAATGGTGTGTGAGCCAAACAGTCTGGGGGAAAATAGGAGCTGTTCCAAGAATGGGAAGGACTGATAAGAACACTCGGCTACATGTGATTATCAGGTAGAAAGGAGGGTCAGCCAGCTAACCAGCACTGATGCTCACACTCCGTGACCAAGGAGAAAGGGTGTCCTGAATTGCTGAATCAGCCAAATGTCCTAAAGAGGAGCCAACCCAATCCTTCTCTCCCAGAAGATGAATCCCCAAGACACCCCCTTAACCGTAATAGGACATTAATAATGCATGCAGAATTTTAAATAATACTAACGAAGCAAGTCAACATGTCATAATGACAGAACAAGGGATTCTATAAGTCTGGCCAAGTGAAACTAAAGGAATACATCATTTCAGGGGGGACAGACAGATCGCAGAAACTAAAAATTTATGTGGAAGATACAAACATTGAAAGACTTATTGGGGTAACAGGAGAAGTTTTGCTGGAACACAGCTCCCTGGGAGAAACAACAAGCTTCAGAGCCCCAAGCATGAATCCATCTGCTGAGAAGCCCAATTCTATAGCCTCAGTACATAGAGGATCTGAGACAACAGTCTTGGGGCGAGTGGCGGGGGGAGATTTCAGTAACACCAAGAAAACATCAAAAGAAGTATTTTAATAACCTTAAGAAAGTATCTTATCCCTAGAGAAAAACAAGAACAAGGAGAAATCAATGAAGTAATCAATTAAATCCATTGTGTTGGTGTTTTAAAATAGATTTAAGTTATAATGACAGTCGGTCTTGTAATCATTGTATTTGTGTGTATTTTGTGTACTGTTTAAAGTATATTCAAAAGAATCATCATATTAAATTTGTAATTGTAGTTTAAATTGTTTAAGGAGATTTAATGAAGTTTGCAATCAATGTTTAAATATTAAAATTTATTTTTCGAAGTTCTGTTTATAGATATGTTTAATAAATTGAGCATTAAATAAAATACAAATATTTTTAGGGTGTTCTCTCCATGGACAAAAATCTCCTCAAACTTTCAAAACTTTACCAATAATAAACATAAACTCTGTCAACAGTAAGCATAGAAAAATACCTGAAAAAGTGTACACTGAAGTCTTAGCAATGATTAATTCTAGAGAGTGGGCGACGGTGGGGAAGGGACTTTCATTTTTTACATACTTTGGAATTTTTAAAACTTTCTACAGAAACATAAGTTATTTAGTAATCTAAAAAAATGTAATCTTGAACAAAATTCAAGACTATAAATCCTATTATAAAAGCATTAACTATAATCGTGTGTGGCTATAAAAGGAGGCCTGATCCTGCCTGGTGGTGCAGCAGTTAAGTTCACGTGCTCTGCTTCAGTGGCCCGGGGTTCGCAGGTTCGGGACCTAGCACGGCTTATCAAGCCATGCTGTGGCAGGCATCCCACATATGTTAAGCAGAGGAAGATGGGCACAGATGTTAGCTCAGGGCCAATCCTCCTCAGCAAAAAGAAGCCCCAAAACTGAAGTTCAAGTTTTCTGTTATAAATGAAATTCAGAAAAATCAAAATGTAGTGGATAAAACTGATTATCTATAGAAATGGCACAAACCTAATGATTTTCTTACAGATTAAAAGTGTGGTTGAAGAGTTAGGAAGACACCCAAAAGTCGTTCACAGTAACTTCTGGGTAGATTCAGTGAGATTAGGTTATGATGCATTTGTGACCTTGAGAGGTAAAACCCAGGCCGTCCAACCCCCCCCCCCATTTTTGAATAGGAATATCTATGGTGGTTATCCCAGGCCTGTTCCGCCATTGTATGGCAGGGGGAGGGAGACAGATGACTTTCTCTTTAGTTCACAGGTCTTCAGAAGGAGAGGAATTTCACTGAAGAAGTCATACTTATGGAAACACAATTGAGATATCTCATCCATAGCTGACCCTGATTTAGATGATGAAATTCTGGATTTCAAACTGATGCTGTCATGGGATTAGACTTTGGAGTGCCCTGGAGTGGGTGAGTGTATTCTGCCTGTGGGAGGAGTATGAATCATTGGGGGCCAGAGGGCCTACAGTGACAGCCAGTCTTCAGAACAGCCCCCAGTGATCCATACCTCATGGTATTCATGCCCTTGCACAGTCTCCTCCGAAATTGTATCAGGTTAGCATAGCCAATAGAAGATGGCAGAAGGGAAGGCATATGACTTCTGAAGCTAGGTCCTAAAAGACACCTCTCTCTCCCTCTCCCTCTCTTTCTTTCTTCTTCTCTTCATCTCTTCGACTGCTTTTCTGAGAGATGTCAGCTGCCATGTCATAAGGATAATGAAGAAACTTCATGGAGAGGTCCACATGGCAAGGAACTGAGCCTCTCTGCCACAAGACAGTGAGGAACTGAGGCCTCTAACTAACAGCCATGTGAGGGGGCCATCTTGGAAGCAGTTCCTTCAGCCCCAATCAAGACTTCAGATGACTGCAGCCCCAGGCAACATCTTAAATGAAACCTCATGAAAGACCTGAGCTAGACCCACCTGAGTCTCAGAAACTGTGTGAGACAATAAACATTTGTTGCTCTCAGCCACTGAGTTTTGAGGTAATGGTAATAAATCAATAAATAATTAATATGGTCTACATATTTTTCTGAGTCCCCAAACACATAAGGTTATGTAATGTCAAAAAATATTCATGATGAACTGACCACTTACAAAATTAGTCCTTACTCAGATATTCCTCCCTTATGAGTACCAGCTACCAACTTTGCCCATTTAATTGGCCGCAGAGTGGAACTTCAAGTGTTGAAAAAGAAGCCTTCACCAATTGGAAAACTGATCAGGAAACTGATCAATCAGTAAAGCAATTGACAAATAATGTTGATGTAGCAATAAAGACCACCCACCTGAGATAATTCAAACAGGGGCTAAGCAGGGTTGTAGGGCCTGCTATAGGTGACATATTGGCTGCAATCAAAGGGACAGACATGGGCAACCAGCAAAGCTTTTCTATGCAGGTGATGTCCACTGGTCATTTCTGTGTGCCCTCCTCTGTCCCCATGTGGCTCCTGGGCACTGACAACAGAAGGTTCCCTGAATGAAGGGCAGAGAGGACCCTGGATGCTGACCCTGCTCCTCTCTGTGGCCCCTCCCAGTCCTCACTCAGTAGTCATTTCTCACCGTCATCGTCTATGCACAGGAGTCATTCCCAATCCCTTTAGGTTCAGGATTTGAAACTCAAAAATCCAAAACTGAGGATTAAGCACAGTAGGCCCAGCTGAAATTGTGGAAGGAAGTACCAGGACCACAAAAACACATATGTTAATGTTGTTTTTTACAAGTATTATTCCATCAAAGTGGGGCCTAGGAATGTAATTTAATGGATTATAAATATTGCCCCTAACAGTCGTGGGAGGAAGGTAGAGGATATGAGAGGGCAAAGAGATTGCCAAATGCTCTGCGCTGCATGAAGGTTCCTCCAACAAACCTTCTGGACCTTCCATAAATATGATGAAATGCTTGATGTGGTGTGATTTTGAGTGGAGGAACTGAATTTTGCAAGTAAGTTTGCTCAAGAGCCATCCAGAGATACCATCCCGGGAACTGGGATTAGAGGCAAGAGATATACTAAGGCCACTAGCCTGAAGACTTCCACAGAAATTTGGGGGAACATTTTGCATTTCTCTAGGCTGTGAAAATTTGGGGGGTATGAGGAAATTTCCCCTAGAATGTAAGGGACAACGGTGTCCCTAATTGACCATCTTGCTACATTTTGAGCTCCCATCCAGGACAGTTTGAACTAAGGTAGTATAGCCAATTACATGTTGATCCTGAGCAAGCAGCGCACCCTCCTCACTACTGCCGAATCGTGCATATTGATGCCAGTCGCACACAAGCCACTATGGTCCTAGGAAATCCACTTCAAAGACAAAGGGAAGTTGTGTAACTACACTGAAATCAGCCTTATAACCTTCAGGGAATGGATGCACAATCTCGAATTGGATGTCTCAATAGTAAGTCATGTATACACTGGTACATGAACTTAGAGCCACTGAGCCTAAGAAATTCTCTGGTGAAATAACTAGTGGCAGAAGACTTCAACATCTCGTGTTTCCCAGCCTTTACAGACATCCCATTGCTTAAGAAAGCGGAGTTTCTCAGGAAGCATATATGATATGATTGAAATTGATCAGCCTCCACACTAAGCCTTCTGCCGAAACAGGATTCCATTATTCAGTTGAAGGACATTGGGTTGTTGATTTTTTTTGGTGATTACAAATAAAGCTGGTATAAAGATTTGCAAACAGGTTGCCATGTGAACAAAAGTATTCATTTCTCTTGGGTAAATACCTAGGAATGGGATTGCTGGATCACATGGTAAGTCTATGTTTAACTTTATAGAAAACTGCCAGTTTCCCCTAGTGGTTACACCATTTTGCATCTCCACCAGTGTGGAAATAAACAAAGATCATCCAAATGAGAACAAACAGAGGCTATTTATTCAGAGCTTGCTATAAAGCAAGGGAGTCAGGCACCATCACTTGTGTTTGGCAGAGACTTAAAGGCAGGTGGGATAGTTGGAAAGCTTCACAGTGAAAACAGGGGGAGGCTTCAGGTATTTCCTAGTTGGAGGCTGTTGGCATGGGAAAGCTCTAGACAGGCTAACTAAAGCAGGGGCATCCTATGAGACTGGTTAGGGGAGCATATTTGTCTTTCTCTGGTTGGTCCTAAATTGGAAGTATGGGCAAAAATTAGGGAAGCTAGCAGTTATTGACCAAGTCCTGACCATATGGGACCATTTGCTTCAAAGGTTGTAGTTTGGCTTCCCTGACTGGTTGCTCCAGAGGTTGTAGGTCAGA